GGAATTCTCTATAGGAGGATAATTATAAGTAATACTTTAGTAGTTTTAAGCCTATTTTACCCTCTATTAACTACCTAAATTAGTATAATCTTTAGCTATAACCTAAAATTATATAAGGTAGCTATATTTACTAGTGCTTGCCCTAGGCTAGGCATGCTTTAGGCACTATTTCTTCCTATTATAATACTTACCTTTATAGTTATAGTATATATTAAGCCTATACTAACTACCTTACTCCTACTTAAAGTAGTTATACGCTACTTTATAGGTCCTACCCTACTTATTAATAGCCTCTATTACCTTATTAAAGCTTAGGTAGATAGCCTTAGGTAGTAGGGGATAGTCGCGCTTAATACTTATTAGGTCCTAGAGGTTAGTAAGATTATAGTCTCCTTTACTAACCTTACCCTATATATCTCTATAATCCTAGTAGTAAGGGTAGTAATTATAATATTAATAGCTATAAGGCGTACGCAGAATATTAGGAGTATTAGATAGAATAACTAGCTTAGAATTTAACCTAGAATCTAATATTTCTTCCTACTTAGTCTCCTTATCTTTGTCCCTATCCTCTAGGGGTTATATAGCTACCTAATTAGGCTTATTAATATTAGAGTTACTACCTAACTTAGAGCTCTACTTATTAAAAACTTTAGTATTACGCGTAATACTACTAGTATAGGGCTCTATAATAACCTTATATAAAGCCTTAGAGGACACTTAAGAGTTATCTAAGTTAGTTAGTAATATAGATTAAGTAAGTAATATTTCTATAAGATAAAAAGTATAATAATTAGGTGTGTTTTAATAGATTTTAGTTAATATAGGATATTAGGTTATAGCTATTACCTAGTTACTATAGGTAAAAACTCTGCAATACTACGTAACTAGGTATAGATACTAATATCTACTAATACTATACACTAATACTATTAATACCAGTCGCGGGCCATCTAGCAGCATCCCCTGTAGTACTAATTTACTAGCTGCAGGATGTTAACTAATTCGGGTAAGGTAGGGCTTATGACCAGGACACTTTTCTTATTGCGACCCGGACGAATAACACTTGCCGTACCCTATGCACCACCACTTGGGATCCGGCATGTCCGGTAATGCCTGCGACGGTGAATCCTAAGAGCAAACCTTGGTAGGGTGGCCGAAAAAGCAACTTTGGCCGGATGAGCGCTCCTCCGCGCTCCACGAGACCGCAGTCGAGTGGCCGATTACTATGGGACATGAGTGAAGATGCTGCCAGAAGTCGTCAGTTCGTGCGAACCGGAGATGCCAAGGTTGAGCGCTAAGCGATTTGTGGAAGCCTCGCATCGGCCGGACAAGCACTGTGTACAACACCAGGACCGATCTGACAGACTGGCACCGGTTCACGGACAGTCAGTCAGACAAACCCAGCACTGTGAGATGTAATGCACCGAAGGGAAGGGGGCAGATGTTGTGGTGTGAAGTGGACGCGACACAAAGGTAGAGGGTTCATGGCATAGGCAGCATAGCACCATCATCCCTGGTACCGGTACAAGCGTGGGTAGGCTAAGTCTTTGATCTAATCCAGCTGGGGGCAGATCATCACGATGCCTCAATGTTGCCATCTGGTGATTTGCTGGCCTAGAGGTGAAGTGCCGGCCTGCGTAAGAGCGGACGAATGCAACGGCCGAAACAACGTCGTTGCCGACTGTGTGTCTCCACATTAGCGCTTCTTGCCGCAAGCCTAATTCTTGCGGTATGAAAGCACCATGGCCGCTGTAAACGAAAGGCTGCGTCGATCCTCCTCGCGCACTGCTTACTAGAAGTCGTGCTTAGAAGTATCCATCCCGTCTTGCAAGAACAAAAACAAAAGAACAAGGCTCTAAATGGTAATGGTAATGGACACCGTCAGTATTGCAAGCACGACAAGTAAGAGGAAGGCTTGCAAGAGCCTCCGTCGAGCCCAATGGGACTGTGAGTTGATTGTCTCTGACATGGACAAGGGCAGCTTGCAGAACGCGTTGTACTAATCACTCAATAGGCAAAAAGCGGAAGATGGTGGGAAGCGGAGGCAGGTCAAGACGGAGCTCTCGTGCCAGCTCAGTTAGTGTCGGGGACGGCCGAGGAGATCTCGAGAGCGGCAGCAGTACAGGTGCAAAACACTTTGGGGAGAGGCTCTGCAAGCTCGAAGAAGTCTTTGAGAAGTTTGTATGCCGCAACAATCCCATCTTTGGAACCTCCCTG